TCATTATCATTGACACCCCCCCACTTGGTAAGGCAATTCCCATCTTTTCATGTGCTGTATATTTATACCTGCTTACTGTATTTTCCACTCCGTGCATCTGATGAAGTGGGTTTTAGCCCACAAAAGCTTATGCCCAAATAAATTGGTTAGTCTCTAAGGTGCCACAAGGACTCGTTGTTGGTTTTGCTTGTTGACTAGATTTTGGCTTGTAGCTTGTGGGACTTGTTGCTTCTTTTTTTTGATCAGCTCCCGGCAAGCAGGGGCAAGAGGGGACAAGGGGGGGGGAGAGAGTCGGGGTGCTCAGCAGCCCCTCAACAGTCCCAGACTGCACGCCGGGGGAACCTAGTCACACGGAGTGTTGGGGATCTTAGGGACTGGCTTGGTTTGAAATGGGATGAGCTTGATTTTTGGCTTATTGTGAAAGTCGGGGTGTTTATTTACTGCGTGAAAGTTGCCAACTGTGGTTCTGAGGCCCCATGTTCAGGGAGGGTTTCACAGCCCACGCTCTACCCTGAACCCAAATGTCTACAAAGTATTTAACCCCACAGCCCAAGGCCTGTGAGCCTGAGTCATCTGACTTGGGACACCCATAGCTGTGTTGTGGGTCTTTTACTGCAGTATGGATGTACCCAGTGCTGTGGTTAGACATCAAATACCAAGTCCAGGCAGAGAGATAAAGCTGAGGGTCAGAGCCAATGTATCAGCCGGAGCAGGGGTAACAACCAGGGGGAGGAAACCAGGAGCCAGGAACAGGAACAGAACACAGCTGTGGGCATGGACCGCTATTGAGCGACCAGGGACGCAGGGCGGCTGCAGGGTTTAAGAATGGCTGAAGACACGAGCAAGCACAAAAAGGAGGTCAGGTTCATTTGCTAAATCAGCTGAGGGCAATAAGCTGGGTCTGGGTTCAGATGTGGGTCCCTAACGCTTCCCCTCACCACAAACAGCCCACTGCCCCCCACCCATATAATCCAGGGCAGGAGCCAGGCCCCACCCCAACACAATGTCAACGAACCCAGGGAAAAGACATGGAGCCATTCCCTGCTCCTGAGGAGCAGGCTACAAGGGTGCAGCACTGCAGTGACACCCCGCATCACAGCCCTGCGGGCATTTGTTCCACAGACCAGTGTGCAAGAAGGGCCTGTGCTGAGCAGGGCTCAGAGTGTGCCCTCCCCCACAGCTCGCAGATGCCCCGGCAGATGGAGTCTGCAAGTGCCTGTAGACAACCGAAGCTACATGGCAAATAAACCATTCTTAGCCATACACAGATTCATGGCTCTCCAAGCACTTTCCAAAGGCAAGCATGGCTCCTAAGTACCTGCTCCCCCCTGCCCTGGGTCACAGCTGGAGGCACTTTGCCACCCCACAGGCAGGCACACCGAGCCTGCCTGGCATTACCGGGCCCCCCACAGACCTCCTGGGAGGGAAATGGAGCATGAAAGCTGTAAGTGGAGCCTGGTTTCGGAGCACAAACGGCGTGAGCAGCATTGTCATGGCAGAGAGAAGGTCAGACTAACCCCTGGCTTGAATTTCAGCAGCGTCAACCAGGAACTCTCCTCTCCCCACTGCTCTGAACGTCAACAACAGCCATCGCCCTCTTACAGCAATGAACCGCAGCAGGAAAGGGCCAGAGACCACAACAAAGAGGCTGTCTCCATTACAGCCCTGCCACGGGCCAAGTGTGCTCCACCCCCACGCCCAAGCCTCGCTGTGAGCCTGGCAGCATTGGACAGCTGCTTTTTAATATTTCAGGCTGGTTGTTCACAAGGCGGAGCAGGTACGGCTCAGCTACCAGCCATTACCACACCTTAACCAGATCCTTAGGGAAGGAATCTGGACTGTGAAGGGTCTCCAAGCCCATGCTCACAAAGATGGCGGGCTAACACCACAGAGGTGGGACGCTTGGCACCCTCTGACACAGGAAGGCCTGGGACCCGGGGGGGGTGTGTGTGAATGCTTTGTCTCACTCTGCAGTGACCCCTGAGGGTCTAGCGGGAGCCACATCCAGAGCACCTCAGCAACAGGCAATTCTCCATGAAGCCAGGCCTGGCGATGGGAGGTGAAGTGAAAAACCTGGGGGGTGGAGGGAGAGGAGATCTTTAGAGCACAGAACCCATCCCCCACCCACCCACCGACACCACACAAATAACAGAGCCCGGAAGGAAATCTCCTGAGATCATAACCTACCATAAACTCAGGCTGCTTAAGGGCTAAGAACTCCTCCTTGGCACCAGGGAGTGGAACAGACTCCAACAGGACCTTGCAACCCCTGTTAAGGGATCACTGGGGAGTGGAAGACCTGCTAAGACATCATCCCCCACATGATGGGGGAAGGGCATTCCGCCCAGCCCAGATCCCTCCATTGGAGACCAAAGCTCTCATCCAGACATCCTGCTGGGCCACAGTGCAGGCAGCTGAGCTCTCTGATTCCATGTGGCAGATGTTTGCAGACAGTTATCCTGCTCTGCACAATGGCCCCACGCTCCCCAGGGAGCGCAAACAAGCCACCTCTTAGCCAGGCTGTCAGCCAATGGATTAGCAAGAGTTTTCCAGGCTGCATTGTTTATTCCCAGCAGAGGAAACAGCTTGGAGAAACCCAACCCACTTCCAGGGCACTGACATCCCATTTGAGTTCAGAGTCCTATAAATCACCACACAGAGAGAGAAAACAAGAGTTCCGATTTCCTGCTGCTTCACCTTATCTGCTCCATAAATACACAATTGCCATCCCCTTCCAGGGTACAGCCTCAGGCACAGCACAGAGTCAAGACTGCAGCCCACTTACTATGACCCTCCTGGGACCAAGCAACATGCTGAGATTTCAGCCAGCTCAATATCTGCTGTGAGTCTCTTCAAGGATGGTCTTGGGCAAATCAGATCCCAGATCCAGCCAGTCCTCTGTAGGGACAGCACCAGTGCAGGCTTCACACAAGTTAATCAAGGATTGGATGTGCAGTGAGATACCCATCCACCCAACACAACGTACACTCATCCACATCCACTGCTGCTTCCGCCAGGGGCTCCACTACAGCTGTATGCCTGAAACAGTGGGGCTAGTCTACCATGCTGTCCACTTTGGTCCCTTTGCTATTGCACCATGGCAAATGTGCTCCGTTCTGCCTCCCTTCCTCAGATTCCAGGCCGAGGAGGTCAGCCTGCAGCAAGGTCCCTGGTTCCCCTGCAGTGAGACATTCTGGTGCCGTTTTCCATGTGAGACTTATGGCCATTAAAAGTGAGGGAATCAGTAAGGCATCAGGTATGTTACTACAGCAGAGAAATAGTCAGGTATTAGGTTTGAGAAATAGCAGGCCATTTGTCATTTAAACTCTGCATCATAATGTGACCTTCCCATGGGGCAGAGTTAAGGTTACACAGGAACATGAATTTTGGTATTTCTTGACTCAAGCACTTCACTCTGCGTCCTCACAGTCCCCCCAACATAGTTCTTCGTATGGAACCTTCCATTGCAGGGAAGATACGCATGGATCCTCAGTCAACCTAGCTCTCCTTTAGCCTCTCTGTGCAATGAGTCCCCTTGGACAGCTGCCTGCCTAGAGCACCTGCTTTCCCACCTGGGAGGGCAGGCACCCTGCCCAGCACCCTCTCCACTTGTGTGCTTGTTCCTTGTTACTTACGGTGGGATTGTCATCCCAGAGTCAGCTCAGCAAGCACCAGGGTCCTGGCTCCTATGACATGCACTTGGCTGCGGATCATCTTGCCCAGGCCACAAAGCGAGGATGGAACTGGATCAACAGCAAAGCTCCCATCACAGGGGATGGGGGGAAATGATCCCAAAGCTCTTTATAGCCATGGCTGCATAGGTTCCATGCAAGCCCAATGCTGCAACAGACATATGGCATTGGAGATGATGCAGGAGAGAGATAAAGGGCCTGCAGCGCAGAAGAGTTAGCAAGAAACAGCACCCTGAGAGACCCTCTATATGCCAATTGGGGTCAGTACTAACCAGAGCACATACCAAAGTCTCCAGTATACTGTTCATTACACTGACATGCTGCTTTCTTTTTTTTTTTTTTTTTTTTTAAATTTAATGGAGATATCCTATCTCCTAGAACTGGAAGGGACCTTGCATCGAGTCCAGCCCCCTGCCTTCACTAGCAGGACCAAGTACTGATTTTGCCCCAGATCCCTAAGTGGCCCCCGCAAGGATTGAACTCACAACCCTGGGTTTAGCAGGCCAATGATCAAACCACTGAGCTATCCCTCCCCCTTGGAAGAGTTACTTTGCAATCAGGACAGAGAAAGGAGGGGCTGCCTTACACAGACACAACATTGCGACCCAGCTGTACCCTGGGCCACTGGATTCCTCTGTGTTCCACCTGCATTTACTGAAGATCCAACAGGACCTAACTCATTCCTGTCCAGCAGCCATCTCCTCCCCTCTATCGGCAAAGAGAAGAGATGCGCTGGAGCGAGTGCTCGCATTACCAAGACTTCAGCACTGCTCCCAGTCACACTCAAGAGTGCTCACTAGCAGGCTAAGGATGGTCATAAATAATTAAACCCAACTGCGGTGGGTAAGACGAACAACTGCAGGGCTCTCTGAGACAGTAGCCCTGCTCCAGAATTGTGTTTGTTCTCGGAATCCAATTTTGTTACTAATTTGCATGGGTCTCCCATCATTAGGACCAATTAGCAGGGCTCTGCTCAGTGTGCCAGCCCAGAGCTCCCTGACACCCAGCCCCAGCCTTTTGCTTCTTTCCAACACCTGGCTCTCCCACCGTTGGATCCCAGTGAGAAGCAATGTGAGGTCACGGTACGTTGCCATGGAAGTGTGTGAGACGTGGCCGCAGCATAGCACAGCAAGTTCGAGGATGACACTAAACTGGGGGGAGAGGTAGATATGCTGGAGAGTAGAGATAGGGTCCAAAGTGACTGTCAAGGTTCCTTCCCCACTCTGAACGTTAGAGTACAGATATGGGGACCTGCATGTAAACTTCTAAGCTTAACTACTAGCTTAGATCTGGTTTTGCTGCCACCACTCCCAAGTGCTAACTCCCTTCCTTGGGTAGCCTTGAGAGACTCCTCCACCAATTCCCTGGTGAACACCAATCCAAAACCCGTTGGATCTTAAAACAAGGAAAAATCAATCGGGTTCTTAAAAAGAAGGTTTTTAATTAAAGAAAGAAAGGTAAAAATCATCTCTGTAAAATCAGGATGGAAAATAACCTTACAGGGTAATCAGATTCAAAGAGCCCAGAGGAACCCCCTCTAGCCTTAAGTTCAAAGCTACAGCAAACAGAGATAATAAACACTCTAGCAAAAGGAACGTTTACAAGTTGAGAAAACAAAGATAAACCTAACATGCCTTGCCTGGCTGTTACTTACAAGTTTGAAATATGAGAGACTTGTTCAGAAGATTTGGAGAGCATGGATTGATGTCTGGTCCCTCTTAGTCCCAAGAGCGAACAACCCCCAAAACAAAGAGCACAAACAAAAGCCTTCCCCCCACCAAGAATTGAAAGTATCTTGTCCCCTTATTGGTCCTTTGGGTCAGGTGTCAGCCAGGTTACCTGAGCTTCTTAACCCTTTACAGGTAAAAGGATTTTGGAGTCTCTGGCCAGGAGGGATTTTATAGTATTGTACACAGGAGGGCTGTTACCCTTCCCTTTATAGTTATGACAGTGACCTAGACAAATTGGAGGATTGAGCCAAAAGAAATCTGATGAGTTTCAACAAGGACAAATGCAGAGTCCTGCACTTAGGACGGAAGAATCCCATGCACCGCTACAGGCTGGGGACCGACTGGCTAAGCAGCAGTTCTGCAGAAAAGAACCTGAGGATTACAGTGGATGAGAAGCTGGATATGAGTCAGCAGTGTGCCCTTGTTGCCAAGAAGGCTAATGGCATACTGGGCTGCATTACTAGGAGCATTGCCAGCAGATCGAGGGAAGTGATTATTCCCCTCTATTTAGCACTGGTGAGACCACATCTAGAGTACTGCGTCCAGTTTTGGGGCCCCCACTACAGAAAGGATGTGGACAAATTGGAGAGAGTCCAGCGGAGAGCAACGATTATGATTAGGGGGCTGGGGCACATGACTTATGAGGGGGAACTGGGGTTATTTAGTCTGCAGAAAAGAAGAGTGAGGGGGGATTTGATAGCAGCCTTCAACTACCTGAAGGGGGGTTCCAAACAGGATGGAGCTCAGCTGTTCTCAGTGGTGGCTATTGGATATTAGGAAACACTATTTCACTAGGAGGGTGGTGAAGCACTGGAATGGGTTACCTGGGGAGGTGGTGGAATCTTCATCCTTAGAGGTTTTTAAGGCCCGGCTTGACAAAGCCCTGGCTGGTATGATTTAGTTGGGGGTTGGTCCTGCTTTGAGCAGGGGGTTGGACTAGATGACCTCCTGAGGTCTCTTCCAACTCTAATCTTCTATGACTGGGATGAAGGCTAAAAATGTCCCTTACCTTCAGGGGAGACATTTTCTTGTTTCCTTTCCAGCCCCATTTGCTTTCTCCACACTGGCTGAGAAACACCTGGAATCACATGCCCAGGTGCTCCAACAGCCCTAGAACAATCACGGAACAACCCAGGAGTACAGCTCCAGCCCTGGCCAGCTTCACGCACCCACCCAGCGCCTGCTCTCCTCGCAGATGGACCGTTGCAGATGGCTGTTTCTGAACATTCCAGAAGGGGCAACTCAGGACTGGCAGTAGGCCGATGCTCTGATGGCATTCCTAGGAATACCACCAGCACAAGAGTCAACATCCAGAATGGCGACAGTCATGCTGCTGATTCAGAGGGAATGGATCTGAGCACACACCCATGCGCATCTCAGAAGCGCCTGCCAGACTCATGGCTCTTGGAAAACTCTAGTCCTCAGAGGCACCTGCCGCAGTAAAGAGACTCAGCACCCAAGAGCGCTGAAGCTTAGGGGCTCCCATGCTAGGCCATATTGGTTTGTCCCATTGCAAATCATAACTGATTTAATAGCCAGGCTGCAAAGACCAAGGGATAAAATAGCTTGGGGAGTTGCACAGCAACGACTTGCATGGCACAGCAGAGATAGATTTACTAACCTGCTGCAGGTTGAGCATAACTTCTGCAGC